CGCACTCACTCACGCACGCACACACACACACTCTCGCACACACTCACTCACACACACGCACACACACACCTCTGGCTCTGAGATGATGTGAGGACTGGCCTCTATTAAAAGGCTTTATTTGTTAAGCTGTCCATGTTCTCCTCTGCCTGTAAATGGAGTGCAGTGATCAGTGATGTTACACAAGCACTACAGAGATTATGTGTGCTGTCATTTATTAAACTCATGCTGTCAGCACATCAGACTCCACACAAAAATCACATATTCATACCAGCAGGCATGGAAACAAAAATGGAAGAACATACAGACAGAGCAAATGCATGACAATCAGAGGGTAAAGTTCAAAATCCACTCATCTTCTCTAGAGGTGCAGTTCAGATCCCCCTGCTGGACGATGATGGAACTACACAAAACATCCATTCAGAAACACATGATAGATAGGTAGACAGACAGACAGATAGATAGATAGATAGATTCGAATTCATCAATAGATGTAGGAATAATAACATTTCTATTCTCTGTTAACTTGAAAACAATTATAAAATATACAGATTTACATGAAAAATACATTTTAGCGTCTTTACAAGTTCACAAGGACCGAGAGCTGAACACGAACATGTGTGACGGGGCGGGGCTTAGCAGTTCGGAAGTTGTCTGTGATTGGTCCAGTGATGTTACACAAGCACTACAGAGATTATGTGTGCTGTCATTTATTAAACTCATGCTGTCAGCACATCAGACTCCACACAAAAATCACATATTCATACCAGCAGGCATGGAAACAAAAATGGAAGAACATACAGACAGAGCAAATGACAGACAATCAGAGGGTAAAGTTCAAAATCCACTCATCTTCTCTAGAGGTGCAGTTCAGATCCCCCTGCTGGACGATGATGGAACTACACAAAACATCCATTCAGAAACACATGATAGATAGGTAGACAGACAGACAGATAGATAGATTCGAATTCATCAATAGATGTAGGAATAATAACATTTCTATTCTCTATTAACTTGAAAATAATTATAAAATATACAGATTTACATGAAAAATACATTTTAGCGTCTTTACAAGTTCACAAGGACCGAGAGCTGAACACAAACTTGTGTGACGGGGCGGGGCTTAGCAGTTCGGAAGTTGTCTGTGATTGGTCGGGTGAGCGCCTGACGGGGCGGGGCTTAGCAGTTCGGAAGTTGTCTGTGATTGGTCGGGTGAGCGTCGTGTCGTCAGAGGCGGAAGTTCAGAGGTGAAGGTAGGATAATGATGGATTCCAGTGTAAACAGCGATTTCGCGTCGCGTCTTCTGTGTCGCGCTCGATCTGAGGAGAAGTAGCTTCAGCTGTGGCGGTTTTTCTCGACGGAAGATGCTCGGATGTCGTCGCCGCTGATATTTACAGTCACTCCTGTGAACGCAAAGCGCTGAAGTGAGTAAATAACGGCACACACTGTCAGCAGATTCACATCACCCGATGAACACTGATCTGTGCTCTGATGATCGGTGACAGATGAACACTGCTGTATTAGAGACGCATTCACACACGATTCATTCATTCTTCAACAAGTGTGCAGCTCCATAACGCGTCATCTGCTGCTGTCAGTGTTTCATCCAGTGTTTTTCATTCAAACCCTAACTGCATGTTAGGCTGCTTCATTTCTCATTCATACTGTGATAAACTGTGATTCCAGCTGTCATATTTCTGTCATATTTCACATAATGATGAAGAGATGAGGCTGCAGACTAGTTTCTGTACAGTATTACTGAGTCACACTGATCCAGGTTTATAGACACCCTTCCTGTGAAAAAGAAGTGCCCTTGATTGTATTTAATGCGCACTTGTAGTGTACTTCAAATCTGTACTTGCAGATGACTTAAAGAGAGACACTCTCCTAACACGCTTCTAAAAAGCGCACGTTGTAATAATCTCACATTAAACGGTTTACTTAAAGCACATTTTAATCATCTTTTGTCAAACTTTAAAGACGTACACTTAATTTGATGTAGACTAGCATACTTGAGGCACATGAAAATATTTATAATGCTTATAATTAATACTTATAATTTTAACTGTAGTGTGTTATTCAATATTACACTTAAAGTTAATATTATAAAGTTAAAGTCATTAGAAATGTGTAAACATAAATACATGACACACAAGACTCAATAGAAATGACATTAGTGTGTATTTTAGTTTATCATAAATGCTCGTCAGCACATTCACTCGCAGAAAAAAGGTACAAAAGCTGTCACTGGGATGGAGTCCGACTCCTTTCAGAAGATTTCTGCCAGTGTTTTTCCATTTCAGGAATCAGTCATTATAATTACCTCTATCCAATTACTGTTCTCCTCATCCTCAGTTACCGCTGTACATCCAGCAGATTGTGTGGAGTCACTGAGTATTTAGTGAAGTGCATGTTATAGCGGTTAGCACAAAGACTGGTCACACACAGATAGTGAGGAGATGATAATACCTTCATCTGTCCAGTCATTCGTCACAGAGACAGCATGAGAAACTGCGGATGGAAGTCTCGTTTCCGTCGGTCCTCATGTTAATATGTGTCTGGATCAAGCAAACCAAATTCCAGAAATAGCTTGTGAAAGCACAGCTGAAATGTTTTCAGCAGATGACTTAAAGAGAGACACTCTCCTAACACGCTTCTAAAAAGCGCACGTTGTAATAATCTCACATTAAACGGTTTACTTAAAGCACATTTTAATCATCTTTTGTCAAACTTTAAAGACGTACACTTAATTTGATGTAGACTAGCATACTTGAGGCATCAAGCAAACCAAATTCCAGAAATAGCTTGTGAAAGCACAGCTGAAATGTTTTCAGAGCCGTCAGAATAATGTGTACTAAATATGTGAATAGTTTGGCATATGAAGGCGGCTCGTGTGTCAGTGCTCTGATGAAGAGTGTGTGCTGTGTGTTTCAGGACGATGGTGTCCCTCAGGGGTCTGTGTTTCCTCCTCACTCTGTTTCTGGGCAGTTTCTTCGGCAGCGTCTTCATGCTGGGTCCGGTTCTGCCGCTCATGCTGCTCTCGCCCGCCTGGTACCGCTGGGTCACCGACCGCATCGTGGCCACCTGGCTCACCCTACCGGTGGTACGCCGCTCGGCATCATGGGATACGGCTTGAGCTTCACTATTAACCGTCCAGAGCAGGGATTCACAAACACTGAAACTCAAACCAAAAACATTAATAACTTTAGTTACTTAGAAGTTGAAATAAAATAAAACCTTAATTGAAATAAATAATAATAATAATAATAATAAAAATAAATAAATAAATTCTGCTAGTTGCCAAGGTAATATTTCACATTTTTATTTAGTATAATTAAAAAAGAATAAAAATTAATAGACGCATTTTTAAAAAGAAATTAAAATGACAAACATGCAACAAAATTAGTAAAACTTTAAAAGTTCTAATTTTTTTTTCTAAACTAATTCAAAATATTAATAAAAACTAGTATTTCTAAAGTAACTCTGATCTGAAGCATATTTTGATGGACTGTATGTAATGGTTGAAACTGAATGTTTTTGTTGATTCTTATGAATAGATTTTTAATGAAGTGAGGCCAGGTTTAGTTTTATTTAATCAAAGTTAAACTTAAAAGTCATTTGTTTTTATTTGTTTATAAATACACTGCGGTTGAAAAGTTTGGAATCAGTAATATTTGTAATGATTTTTTTTTTAAAGAAGTTTCTTCTGCTCATCAAGGCTGCATTTATTTGATCAAAAATACAGAACAAAACTGTGATTTTGTGAAATATTATTGCAATTTCTAATATTGGTTTTCTATGTGAATATCTGTTAAACTGTAATGTATTTCTGTGATGCGCAGCTGTATTTTCAGCATCATTACTCCAGTCTTCAGTGTCACATGATCTTCAGAAATCATTCTAATATGCTGATTTATTATCAGAGCTGGAAACAATTGTGCTGCTTAATATTTTTTTAGGCCTGTGATAGTTTTTTTTTTTAGAATTCTTTGATGAATAAAAAGTTAAAAAGAACAGTGTTTATTCAAAATAGAAATTTTGTGTTACAATGTACAGTAGTGTTCAAAAGTTTGGGGTCAGTACATTTTTTTCTTTATTTTTTTTTAAGGAAATTAATACTTTTATTCAGCAATGATGTGTTAAATGGATAAAAAAGTGATAGTAAAGAATCATGTTGTTAGAAAAGATTTATATTTTGAATAAATGCTGTTCTTTTTAACTTTTTATTCATCAAAGAATCAAAGAAAACTGTATCACAGATTCCCAAAAAATATTAAGCAGCAACAGTTTGAACATTGATAATAAATCAGCATAATATATTATAATGATTTCTGAAGGATCATGTGACATTGAAGACTGGAGTAATGATGATGAAAAATCATCTTTGCATCACAGAAAATTTAATTATATTTTAAAGGATATTAAAATAGAAAACCATTATTTTAAATGGTGATAATATTTTACAATATTACAGTTTTTTCTGTATTTTTGATTTTTTTTTTAAATGCAGCCTTGATGAACAGAAGAGACTTCTTTAAAAAAACATTAAAAATCTTACTGACCCCAAATTTTTAACGGCAGTGTAGTTTAATCATTTATATGTTTACTTTTTTTAATTCCTCTTGTTTCTCATCAAGAATATAGCTGTGGTAGCTGGCTAAACTATAAACAAACAAAGTCCACCTGAGATTAATATTTCAATTATTTAACAACACATTCACCTGTTACTCATTACTGATCACACGACATGCAGCTAAACAAATAAAATATTTCATCTTTTTATTAAAGGGTTAGTTCACCCCAAAAATGAAAATTCAGTCATTAATTACTCACCCTCATGTCGTTCCAAACCCGTAAGACCTTCGTTCATCTTCTGAACACAAATTAAGGTATTTTTGATGAAATCCGAGAGCTCTCAGACCCTCCACAGACAGCAACACAACTGTAATGTTCCCAGACACAGAAGCAAGGACATCAGAATTTTCATTTTTGGGTGAATGCTGCAGTACTTCTGCCACATCAAGGAGCCGCTGCAGCTGCTGCTGTTCCCCGAGGGCACCGACCTCACCGGTGAGAGACACTGAGCAACCGCATCAGGCCTGTCACGCACCTTCAGAGCACTAGTGAAGACACGGGGACAGCTAGGGGTCTGCAATACTGACAAAGAATTATATCTCGATCTTTTCTGGGATTTTATCGATCAAGATAATCAGATGATATTGTGCTGAGTGTGTTATTGTGCTGGTATCTTAAGAACTGAGCTGACTCCTGAAGGGTTTATATTCTTCATATTCTGTGTTGTGGTCAGTTCACACTGAGAGAAATTAATCTTTTCCAATAAGTTTAAATAGATTTTTACATTTTATGGGCATTTTTACCTTTATAAAGCCATTTTTTTCTAAAAGTGTCCATTATCTTTTGAGTCAATTTCTCACATGTAATCAGTGAATTAGAATAATAAGAGATTTGGGCTGTTAGCAAGCAAATTAAATCAGCATCAATAGAATTCATCTTTGCAGTGCAGAGGAAACACAGAACAAGTAAGGTTAGTTAGTCAAGTAGTTATTAAGTTACTTACATTTTAGACACAATATTTACTGTCTTGTTCGTTGGTGAAACAGAACATAGTTCCAAACAAGGATCACAGCAGAAGTATCACACATTCTCCAAACACTCGGCGGTGTTTAGTTACTGAACGATTCAGTGTTTGAACGAATCGGTTGAATCAATGACTCAATGACTCACTCATTTAGTGACTTACCGCCACCTGCTGGTGGTTTACTATGTTGAAAAGTATGCATTTTTTCCCCCAACATTTCTTATTTGTATATTCATAATTGTATTTAAAACATTAATCTCATAACATTATTTTTTGCAGTTGTAATTTTGCAGTGTAAATTATTTAATCGGACTGGTAACAGCCCTATAGAATTTATTAATAAATTGTAATAATTTGACATGAAAGGTGATGCATACATTTAAAAAGTTTAAAAAATAGGCCTTTATGATTATTTTTTTCTTTTTACATTAAACACATTAAATATTACATATATGTATGTAATATAATGTGTATTTCCATCAGTGGTGGCTCGTGGGTTTAAAATAGAGGAGGCACACTAATTGTATTGGTCTGGGATCCCTGTCGATTATTATTATTATTATTATTATTTGCTTAACCACTTTAAAATGGCTTTTTGGTTGCTTTAAGTCAGAAAACGTAAAGAAAACGACACACGTACAGCAAGATAATATAACTTCACTTACCTGGCCTATCCCTGAAGCAAACATCCATCCCTTCTTAAAAGTCTGTATGCATATTACTAATCAAAAGTGAAGTTTTGATATATTTATGGTAGGAAATTTACTAAAATATCTTCATGGAACATAGGGCTGGGCGGTATATCGAGTTTGTACGATATATCGATATATATTTTTTATTAGCGATACGGTATGAAGCAATACCGTTAATATCGATATACAGTAGTTTGATACGAGCGCATCTGAACAATATCTAGGGAGGACAGACTGAGCTGCTGCGGAGAAAGTGCTTAATACAATTTGTTCTAAACATGTGACACGCTTTATATGAAGGGCTTTAAAAGACTTGTAAGATCTAGTAGCCTATAGTTTATAGATGAGTTTAAAGCGACTCTGACAGAAAGGCTGCGTGTGCCGCTGTTTAATGTGTTTGAGATGAATGCATAACTTACATTTCACAGGTGTATTCATAACATATACGTCTGTAAATGTTAGAAAGCCATGGAAATATTTCAGTTTTGCTGTTAGAAGTTAGGATTCTCCGCTAAACTTCACAGACTTCAGAGAACGAGCGCCAGACAGACTCTGGATAAAATATACATTTCGTTGGACAATAAATGTGACATATGTAGAATTTTTTACCTACAAGTGTATTTGTATGAGAGCACTAACTGTAAAGTAACTGTAATGGGGTAATCAAAATAGCGTTTTAACTCAATTAGTCTGTGCTTTTTTATTATTTTCATTTTTAGTTTAGTAAATGTAACTTCTGCTTTAAAAGCATTATTTTTGTTTTTAGATTGCAATGTTACAATGTTAGAATGTAACGTGATTTTAACCCTTTTTTGCACATAATATATGCCTACATGCTTACATTCACTTTATTTGTTTAATTCAGAAACAAAATACTGAGATATACTGTATACCCCAAATCAGCCAAAAAATACCGAGATGTGAATTTTTGCTCATGTCGCCCAGCCCTAATGGAACATGATCTTTACTTAATATCCTAGTGATTTCTGGCATAAAAGAGAAATGTATAATTTTGACCCATACAATGTATCTTGGCTATTGCTGAACTAAATATATAGTATATAGTATATGAACTAAAATGAATAGTACACTTGTAGTACACTTGAGTGTACTAGTGTATGAAAGATGGTTCAAGTGTACTACAAGTGCTGACTAAATACATTTTAAATACAGAGATAGTATGTTAAAAGCACATTTTAGTTCATTTGGAGTTTTGTTCTTTATTATAAGGTTTGTGTGAAATCTGTTTTCATCGATGTCTCTGTGCAGAAAACACCCGCGCCAGGAGCGACGAGTTCGCTGAGAAAAACGGTCTTCCCAAGTACGAGTATGTTCTTCATCCTCGCACCACCGGCTTCACCTTCATCGTCGACACGCTGCGGAAAGGTCAGAGGTCATCAGCGCTCGCGTGTTCTGCATCATTAGTTCAGAGGATCGAATTAGAGAGCGAGTCCAGCGTAGATGTTCGTCAGAGCTCACAAACGAGCTCAACCTAAACCCTGTAAAGTGTGCTCATAGAGTAGAGTGTAACGCTTGCAACACCCGGCTCACGGGTTTGATTCCCAGGGAATGCATGAACTGATTCACTTTATTTGTTTAATTCAGAAACAAGATACTGAGATATATACTTAGGGGAAGTCGTGGTCTAATGGTTAGAGAGTCGGACTCGTAACCCAAAGGTTGTGGGTTCGAGTCTCGTACCGGCAGGGATTGACTAATTCTGAGTATGGGTCACCATACTTGGCCACATGTCACATCACTTTCACTTTCATGAAGTCTAAACCTTGAATGCAATATACACTACCAGTCAAAGATTTTTCAAGTCTCTTCTGCTCATCAAGCCTGCATTTATTTGATGCAAAGTACAGCAAAACAAAGATCATCATTTATCTGAAATAAAAAGCTTTTGTAACATTATACACTCCACCATTCAGAAGCTTGGAGTCTGTATCATTTTTTTGGGGGGAAAGATATTATAGAAATTAGGGCTGTCACGATTATGAAATTTGGCTGACGATTAATTGTCTAAAAATAGTCACGGTTATTGCGATTAATTGTCTGTTTTTATGGCTTTCATTATATAATTGATTAATTTAAGGCTTCAGTAAATAATTAGGATGTTATCTCTTAATCTTTTTGAGTTATTATTTTGCAGTGTAAGATTACATAGAGTATTCCAAATTCTAAGAATCAGCCAACACCGATCCAACACCAGCGCTGTTTGTTTCTACACCACTACAGCATATCATTACTGTGTTTGTGGAACTAATGGTCACTCTTTTAAACCCTTTGTTAAACACAATCCACTAAATACTCACTTCCTCATTACAGAGAAAAACTGCATTTGAATAAAAATATATAAGCTATGAAATTAAACTAGCTGACTGTATAATTTAGCAGCAAAAACAATATCTTGAAAAAAAATATTTTGTGCAAATTATACAATTTAAACATGTTTATTCTGTTAACTATTTGTATTCTTACAAAATACATTCATGAATATAATATAGAAATCATGAGAAAAAGAAAGGCTTCTAATAATATTTCTGTTTGTGATAATTCCTTCCTTCCTTAAAAAGTATTATAATGGGAATTGCGAGCAAATCATGTGCTCGTGCGACCAGCTGAGAAAGTTAGTCGCAAAAGAGCTTCAGTGGGAAGAACGAGTCTGGAGCCCTGTACAGGCTATACAGTGCATGAGAAGCATACTGGTGCTCTTCTGTTTCTTTTGGTGTATGACTCCCCCTTGTCTCGTATAAAAAGCACAATAATCAATCAGTTAGATCAAATAATCACGATTAGATGGTTATTTAATTATCGCGACAGGCCTAATAGAAATTAATACTTTTATTTAGCAAGGATGCTTTAAATTGATCAAAAGTGATGATAAAGACATTTATAATGTTTCAAAAGATTTCTATTTCAGATAAATGCTGTTCTTCTGAACTTTCTATTCATCAAAGAAACCTGAAAAAATTCTACTCAGCTGTTTTCAGCATAATAATAATAATGAATGTTTTTGTGCAGCAAATCAGAATATTAGAATGATTTCTGAAGGATCGTGTGACTGGAGTAATGATGCTGAAAATTCAGCTTTGAAATAACATTATTAAATTACATTTAAAATATATTCAAATCAAAAACAGTTCTTTTAAATAGTAAAAATATTTCACAATATTACTGTATTTGCTGGATCAAATAAATGCAGGCTTGGTGAGCAGAAGAGACTTCTTTAAAAACATTAAATATCTTACTGTTGAGGAACGTTTGACTGTTAGTGTATAATGACAATAACTTAAAATATAATGATAATAACTGTAACTATATTGATACATTTAGCCATAATGAAAGCTAAATTAGTGTGCAGACCAGTGCATGATAAGATTCTGTGTATTATAAGCGCGCTGCATTAAAAATCTTCCTGTTGAGAAAGGTTTGGCTGGTAGTGTGTGCCGCGTCTCGTGTGAAATGCATGAATGTAAATGTGAGATCAGTGAGTGCTGTGTGAGCTGTGAGTGATGCTTGTTATTTCCGTGGACAGGTGATAACCTGGACGCTGTGCATGATATCACGGTGGCGTATCCTCAGAACATCCCTCAGACGGAGCGGCACCTGCTCCTGGGTCTGTTCCCGCGCGAGATCCACTTCCACGTGCGGCGTTTCTCTGCGGCGTGTCTGCCCTCGAGCGCGGAGCAGCTGCAGCGCTGGTGTCAGGAGCGCTGGCGAGAGAAAGAGCAGCGTCTGTGTGCCTTCTACCGCTCCGAGCCGCGCCGCTTCGACCAGCCCGAGGCCCGCGTGCCGCCCTGTAAGAGCCAGCTGAGAGTGGCGCTGATCAAAGCTGCGTCGCTGCTGTACTGGAGCGCCTTCATCACGCTCTGCTGCGCCGGCCTGTGGCTCTGGACCCCCCTCAGACTCTACTTCCTGCTGATGGTGATCTTCTTCCTGTGTCAGCAGCGGGTCACGGGTGGAGTGGAGCTGATGGAGCTGGCCTGTCACCGGCGCTGGAGCGGAGCACAGGTGAAGCAGGACTGAGACACGCCAGGAGAAGATCACACTATAAACATCATAAACACAGCATTCATCACTGCGAACGCCAATCTCGTCTCTTAACTCTTTCAGCTCTTTGTGTTTCTCGTTTGTTTCCTCCTGTTTTAGTAGCTCGGGTTATCCACTTACAGCCATATTTTAAAGAATTACGATATTTTATTTGGTGTTCAGTGCTGGCCAAAATGATTAGAACACTAGTGTTTCCAGCAGCTGAAACTGGTTTGAAGTCAGTTATTTCTATCTTTTGCTGCAGTGTGTCAGCGGACAGACTGATGATCAGATCAGATCTCTGTGTGCAGCACTAACATATATCTCACTGCATTATTACAATTAACAGATATTTCCTCCTGACACACTACAGCAAAAGATAGAAATAACTGAGTGTTTTAATCATTTTGTCCAGCACTGTGTGTATGTTTTATAGTTACGGAGCGCAGCCATAGCACATTAGCTTCGAGCGCTGGTGAAGAAGGAAAAGCCCAGTGTATTGATGCGCATCAGGAGCGTGTTGCGTGTTCTCCGCATGCATGGCTGCAGGTAATGCGACAGAAGAATCAACACGCGTGACGTTCCCAGACAATCCTCGTGTAAATCAGGACTGAGTTACCCGTATAAGACCTGACCGAACCCTGACCTCTGACCTGTGTGTGCTGTGCTCCTGGGTTAGTGTGGACCGGCTCACTGTGTGTGTGTTCCTCGTGTCACGATCACTCAGGTATATTCACTGTAACCAACCATAATCATAATCAACACGCCAATAAATCCATCTTCTGTTGCTTCATGAGCTGTGTCCAGTTCAGATGAACCGCTCAGACGTGTGTCGAGTGAGTAAAGCACGTTTAACAGCAGACTGCGCTCCGTCTGGAGATTCTGCTCTGTTCTTCTTTCAGACTAAAGGAAAGAAAGCATCCAAAACACACATTAAAGTGTTCATTTTATCACACTTTATCTATCTGAGTCTGTATTCTGAAGGTCTGTTCATATTTCATTCACACTGATTTATACAACATTTTACTCCTAAAAACATGGTGAAAATGTGTGATAAAAAGAGAAATCCAAATCCACCCCCTCTGGAAAAAACCTTTGATATGTCAACAAAATCAAACAAGAATTATGAACCTGACTTTATACAATGATCAGATTTATACTCTGGAAATGTGTAGAGAATAGTACATGTTTAATTAGATAACGCCTCATTTGCATATTCAAACAGAACATATCAGAAAGCTAAAATACTATGAAATCTATCAGTTAATAATGAATGAGACTGAGGTTTGAGGTCCGTCCTGCCTGAGCTCCATCAGCTGGCCTCTTCTGTGCTATCTGAGTCAGAGCAGATTAAAGTGAGCGTGGGTTTGTCATGAACTGGTTTTCCTCAGTTCTCATACAGACCAGCAGCTCTTATTCAAGTCTTCATTTGATTTGTTGATGATAGTTGCCCGTATTGAATCTGTATTGATGATGAAGATGTCTCCACTCACATTTAATGTTTGAGTATTGTAGGTCTGAGTTTGATTGGTCATTGTGTTTTAGCACAGCTTTACACATGCACTTCTTGAGTGTGTTTTGGATCTGTTTCATGTCACCTTAAACACAGATCAGTGTCGTTCTTCACCGCCTCACTATCACCTCATCCAGACACAAGCCCGGTTCATCTGCTGATGAATTTCTCTGCTGTTTTCCTGGAAGCTTTAATGGGTTCTCTGAACAGCAGTGCATGGAAAGAGTGACACCTTCAGCCTCCTCCATTATTAATGTCCTGACACTGTCATGTGTTTTACTGATCATCAGTGGAGCTTCAGATTGGAATATTATAAAATAACTGACAGAGAAACAGAGAATTTATCTTAATGTCACGTGACTGATGTTCAGGAGTGTGTGAGTGCGTTTGAGTGAGTGTGTGTGTGTTTGAGTATGTGTTAGTGTGTGTGTGTGTGTATGTGTTAGTGTGTGTGTGTGTGTATGTGTTAGTGTGTGTGTGTGTGTTCTTTGCTGCTCTCTAGTGCTTCATCAGCTGGTGATTATGAACACCTGTGATTAGAGTTGATGTGAGTTTGGAGCTGCTGCAGTCATGAAAGATGTCTCTCCACACAACAGCCGATCAACAGGTGAATTTCATCTTAATAAACAGAGCAGTTCACTGTTCACATCCATTCAAATCTGTTTCCTTAGAAAGGCTAAATTTGATTTCAACCAAAATGTTTAATATTAGTGTATACAGTTTTAAAGTACATTTGATTGTCTTTCAAATACACACTCACACAAAGACACACACTCTCACACCACAACAACAACTAAATATCAGTTAATTCTATGTGTTTCCCTGAATTACCAAGAAGTTATAAAGATTATTAAGAGCAAAAGGTCATAAATAACAATACGGAATGTAAATATGCTATTGGAACGAATCTCATGAAACCATGTCCAGGTCGAATTTCACCCCAAAATCAAAAGAAACGAAAAAATATTTTTGAAACAATAATTGCATATTACTGTAATACAGATTATTATTTATTACATATATCAGCATAAGCATTAGAGGCACTACGGCAAATACTATCATTATGTTTGCATTCTTTACACACTCATGAGACTTTGGCTTGATTATGTGTTTTTATCCTGTTGTTTTGGGCTGAAATATGAGCTGGACGGGCTTCATTATTCAGAGCAATAAATAAGCTGCTGATTAATTAGACTGATGATCCGGATTCCGTCAGGCACCGTCTCAAACTAACGAAGCACAATTACTAGGAATCATTAGCTGGAGTCTGAAAGGGCAGCGAGGCACAGTCGTGAGGAGGAATTAAACACGAGGTCTGTTTGTTCTGTGCATTATCATGGGAACCGGCCGGGTCGAGAAACCGCTTCAGAACTTGGTGCTCTCGGTGTGTTTGGCTGATATTTGCTTCTGTTTCTCGGTCACGTCTCTGGAGGCAGGAGGACAGCAGGGCATCTCTCCGTTGGCGCGCTCCAGCTGAACCGTGACGCTGTGGACGCCGGCGCGGTGGAACAGCTGCTGGATCTGCGTCTGAAGAGCCGGGTCCTGCAGGTCAGCAGACACTTTGACGTGCAGTGAGGCCACGTTCTGTCCTTTAGATAACTCCCAGACATGAGCCTCGTGAACGCTCGCCACGCCGGGGAGTTTGCACACGCTCTCCACTGAGACAGAGACACACAAACAAGCAGAGACGCACAGCATCAGCACTGTGAGACACCAACAATAAAAACCTTACAGTTTACCAGAGATTCCCTTCAGCCCTCAGTGTAAAAAATTATCTTCCGATGTTGTACATTACAAGTTAAACTACAAGAAAATACAGTTTAAAATTCACATTTAATTCAATGTGTTACTTGCGGTTTCTTTGTCATTTAACTTAGTGAAATTTACTAGTAACTGACTGAAATCTCTAAAAAAGATGTCCTAAAAACAAATGTAAACAAACTGTAAAAAATTATCTTCCAATGTTGTACATTTCAAGTTAAACTACAAGTAAATACAGTTTAAAATTCACATTTAATTCAATGTGTTACTTGCGGTTTCTTTGTCATTTAACTTAGTGAAATTGACTAGTAGCCAACTGAAATCTCTAAAAAAGATGTCCTAAAAACAAATGTAAACAAACTGTAAAAAATTATCTTCCGATGTTGTACATAAGTTAAACTACAAGTAAATACAGTTTAAAATTCACATTTAATTCAATGTGTTACTTGTTTCTTTGTCATTCAACTTAGTGAAGTTTACTAGTAGCTGACTGAAAACTCTATAAAAACATATGTCCTAAAAACAAATGTAAACAAACTGTAAAAAATGATCTTCCGATGTTGTACATTACAAGTTAAACTACAAGTAAATACAGTTTAAAATTCACATTTAATTCAATGTGTTACTTGTTTCTTTGTCATTCAACTTAGTGAAATTGACTAGTAGCCGACTGAAAACTCTATAAAAACAGATGTCCTAAAAACAAATGTAAATAAACTGTAAAAAATGATCTTCCGATGCTGTAAATTACAAGTTAAACTACAAGAAAATACAGTTTAAAATTCAAATTTAATTCAATGTGTTACTTGTTGTTTCTTTGTCGTTCAACTTAGTGAAGTTTACAAGTAGCCGACTGAAATCTCTAAAAAAGACAAACTGTAAAAAATGATCTTCCGATGCTGTAAATTACAAGTTAAACTACAAGAAAATACAGTTTAAAATTCACATTTAATTCAATGTGTTACTTGCTGTTTTTTTGTCATTTAACTTAGTGAAGTTTACTAGTAGCCAACTGAAAAGTCTATAAAAACAGATGTCCTAAAAACAAATGTAAACAAACTGTAAAAAAATTTCTTCCGATGTTGTACATAAGTTAAACTACAAGTAAATACATTTTAAAATTAACATTTAATTCAATGTGTTACTTGTTGTTTCTTTGTCATTTAACTTAGTGAAATTGACTGGTAGCCGACTGAAAAGTCTATAAAAACGGATGTCCTAAAAACAAATGTAAACAAACTGTAAAAAATGATCTTCCGATGCTGTAAATTACAAGTTAAACTACAAGAAAATACAGTTTAAAATTCACATTTAATTCAATGTGTTACTTGCGGTTTCTTTGTCATTTAACTTAGTGAAGTTTACTAGTAGCCGACTGAAATCTCTAAAAAAGATGTCCTAAAAACAAATGTAAACAAACTGTAAAAAATTATCTTCCGATGTTGTACATTACAAGTTAAACTACAAGTAAATAGTTTAAAATTCACATTTAATTCAATGTGTTACTTGTTGTTTCTTTGTCATTTAACTTAGTGAAATTGACTAGTAGCCGACTGAAAAGTCTATAAAAACAGATGTCCTAAAAACAAATGTAAACAAACTGTAAAGAATGATCTTCTGATATTGTCCATTACAAGTTAAACTACAAGAAAATAGTTTAAATTTTACATTTAATTCAATGCATTACTTGCTGTTTCTTTGTCATTCAACAAATGTCCTGGCAGAAAGTGACCAGTATGTTTACAGAGATTTCCTTCAACCCTACACTGTAAAATACACTGTAATTTTCTGTAGTTGTAAATTGTAAATTTTACAAGACAAATAGTTCTACAGAATTTTGCAAGTAGTTTTACAAACAAATTACTATTTCAGTCTGTCTAAATATTTCAGTTTATGTTTAATTAAATGTTTTCTGTCATTTTTTGTTATTTGTGAAACTTACTAGCAATTTCTGAGTGCAAATTGTTTCTACGCCATTTTTTAAGCTAAAAGGCCCATTTAAAACACACAACTATAATGCTAAAGTTCTGAAAACTGTTTTAAATTTAAAAGAATAGCAGAGTCCACACAACTACAACAATAACAACACAGATGAATGATTTCACTGGAATCTCTTTCAGAATGATTTATTTCCAGCTGCTGAACAATAAAAACATCGACAGCCGATCAGAATCCATCCTGCTTTAAAGAGCTTGAGCATTTAAAGGCACAATATGAAAGAAACCATATAAAGGCACAATATGTAAACAACGTATGCAACATATGTACGCGGATACCGTGTTTACGTTCAGATCAAAGTGTAAATAGTGTAAACGGCGTAACCGGTACTGTTTACTCTCCAAAATGGCACTATAAGGTGACGTGGAGGAGACGAACTGTTGAATATAAGTCGTTATTTTTGTTTTCTTTGCGCACAAAAAGTATTCTCGTAGCTTCGTAAAATTACGGTTGAACACATGGATTATTTTAACGATCTCTTTGCTACGTTTCTGAGCCTTGATCGTGTAAGGATCCTTGCTGTCTATGGAGGGTCAGAGAGCTCTCAGAATTCATCAAAAATATCTTAATTTGTGTTCTGAAGATGAACGAAGGTCTTACGGGTTTGGAACGACATGAGGGTGAGTAATTAATGACAGAATTTTTATTTTTGGGTGAACTACCCCTTTAAATAATGGCTTGTCCCTGGTCATTGTCGCCTATCAATGACGTAATATCCGCACTATCCTCAGTTTCCGCTTGTAGAAACTAAAAAAAGTGCTGCTGTACAGTTAAACTAAATTCAGTATGGCTGTCGCGGATAAAATGAAAATGAAATGAAAAGTGTTGACTGCAGCATTAGACTGAGATCTGCTCAATGTTGTGCCATGATTCTTTTTACGTGTTTTTACAGTGTTGCGCGTCGTAACCAATCACACGAGTCTGTTGTGCCTTTAAAGCAACAGATGACAAACAGCAGTGTACTTAGAACATTAACAATAAACATCAGTCTGCATGCTAATAATATCATTAGAGTTTTCATTCTTGTTGTGAACGGCCTGTGCAAAAGAAACTGAAAAAAAAAAAAAAAAAAAAAAACAGAACCAGACTGTTGACAGACTGACACACTACACTATGCACTATTCTATGTACTAAAGCAGCAGTCCTCGAGTAATTAAAGCTGCGACGGTTGAGTGCATGAAGTGTCCAATATTCCACGCTTGGTTTTGTCGGCTAATGAAGTGCATCATCCTGACATTAGAAGAGTCCAGTGTGAACATACGGATTGCACAATCTATACTAAAAAACCTCACAGAATAGTGCATAAATACGTGAACTGGGATGGATTTCTATAGTGCACAGAGACATGAATGTGGACTCACAGACTGCGGTGAGCGGCAGATCAGGGGGACTCATCTGCAGCAGGATCCCAGCCGTTTCTTTGACCAGAGGAGCAGCTGACAACATGATGATGACCACCATGACCAGCGTCAGACTGGGGTCCACGTAACACTGCCAGTTACACGGGCTCTCAGGGGCCAGGGGCCACACGTAGAACAGAGCCGAGGCCACCACCACCACCACCGAGCCCAGCGCGTCATTCAACACATGCAGCAGCACGCCTGCGGAGAGAGAGACATGCCATTCACATAGAGAGAAAGAACTGAGAACCTGCCAGCGAACTGAGCCAGATCAGAGAGATGCTGCAGACACTGTGCAACCAGCTCCTGAACAGATAAGGACAATATGCACAAACACAGTGCTCAAAAAAAAAAAAAAAAAAATTAATAATAAAAATCACAACAACAAAAATAAAAAAATACTAATGTAAATTGTTTGCCATGCACGTTTTCATAAGTACACTAGCTTCACGTTATTTTCTCTCTGTCTTACCAACCAGGTTTATCTTTAAAAATTTTATGCGTTCATTTCATATAAGTTGTTGGAATATTCAGGGTCTTCACTCTTCAACATTTGGTTCTAAAAGCACAGACCCAGAATTTCTTAAAAATATCAAAGATGCTGATATGATCATTCTCACCGAGACCTGGTGTAGAAATGATATGCTTACCTACTGTCCCTCAGGCTACTATGAACATGCCATTCACACACAGAGAGAGAGAGAGAGAGAGAGAGAGAGACAGTGTGCTGGAAACACTGCTGATGAACACTAAAGCACAGCGGCTCACTCACTCACTCACTCACCCCGGATGTTCAGAGGAGGCCCGTCGCTCCCAGCCTTCTTCTCCTGCAGGCCTGTGGACGGAGAAAGCACAAGTGTGTGGAGTGCACTTCTGAAGATCCAGGACAAACACAAAGCGCCAGCTCTGCCTGAGGCTCACACATCAGTCACGCTGTTCTCCAGCAGCAGATTATTCAGATTATACGACCAAAGTACAAGGCCACACAATACTGCACTTTAATAATGCATGCAGATCCGTCCCAGATACAACATGTGCATCACAGAGACGTCTAATGTATGTGTTTTCATCTGGAAGACATATTGTTTAGAGCATTTGCTGTTACGAGACGTTTCCGTTCACATGGTTTCTGCAGGTTTGAAGGAGGTCAATTTAAGACCAAGTAAAGAAAATCTGAGGAATAAATCGAGTGGAACACAATGTGTCAATACAGTCTTAAACAACGTCCAACACATCTCCATTACTTTTAATTCATTTTACAAAAATATACTGAAATAACTTTTACTCTAACTTCTGATCACGCTGTTCTTCATCAGCACTTTTGTCTTGTGTTCCGGTGCAAACGCCTAAAGATTCTTACATCAAGATACATTTACTTCATATTCACAGTTTTAAGAAATTCATCAAAATGAAGTGAGTTTATGATTAAAACAAGTATCTAAAGTATCTGTAAACAAGTAAAATATCTGCCAAAAATCATCTTAATTCAAAGGGAAAACTAGTTTTCATTCCTCCTCATTGACAGATATCTGTTCCTGCTTTAATCATAAACTCACTTCATTTTGATCAATTTGTCAGACTTAATTATTTCATTTAGCATCTCCAGTAAATGCATCTTGATTTAGGCATATTTAGACAACAAGACAGAAACACTGAGGAAGATGCAGCGAATTTAATGCCATGATTCCATAACTTTATGCTCCGATTTAAGACCTTTAAAGAGCTTAATCAGTGAAAAGCTGAGACCCGCAGAGACCCTGCTGTCAGATGTGAATCAGATTATCAAGGCGTTTATCAGATGTTGCACACAGCAGATGAATCTCTCTCAAAAAGGCATGTAGTTAAAGAGCAGCGACGCTGCAAAGCAAACACGAAGCGTTAGGGTCAGCACCTGCTTCTTCCTCCTCCGCGTCGCGCGGCACAGGCGCGTCGTTCCGTCGCGTCGCGCGCAGGCAGCGGCTGCAGTCCTGGAAGATCAGCAGCCCGAGCACGTTCACCGTGAGCCCCAGCGAGCCCACGATCAGCACCAGCGGCGGGTCATCGATGGCCTGCGGCATGGCGAGCCTCTTCAGCGACTCCATGGACACAGAGAAGCAGAGCGCGGCGAGGAACACGGCGTTAGCCAGCGCGCCCACCACCTCCGCGCGGCCCATGCCGTACGTGAAGCGCCCCGAGCCCGCGCGACGCGACACCCGCGCCGCCGTCAGCCCGACGCACAGCGACAGAATGTCCGACAGCATGTTGAACGAGTCCGACACCAGCGCGATGGAGTTGCCCATGTACCCCGCCACGATCTCCGCCACGAAGAAGATGACGGTGATGACCAGCATCAGGATCAGGCGGCACGTCTTGCCGCTGTAGCGCCCCATGATCGCGTTGCGCGGTGCTCTCACTGACGCTCACCTGTCTGTCTCGCCTTGGCACTTTTCCACGCGTTGATGACGCGTCGCGTGGCGTCGGTTCCCTTCAGGTCTCCTCAGCGGATTCTTGTCATAAGTGTCACCTCTGAACACTCATCCAGCTGGTTTATTCTGCTGACTGGGTTAGTTAGCACTGCGCACTGTAAACACGGTCATACATTAAACAGCCTTTGGCACAGCCGCGCTGCATAAGCACCATAAACATGCTTTCCTATCTAATGAGCTAATTGTTTCTCCTCGTGTCCTCAAACACCTGAGAAATTAAAACTGTGCAAGCACTTTATTTCTTTTACAGCACTGGAGTTTTTCCTTGGTTTGGTGTTGCTGGAAAATCAAAACCCTGAGGATCTGCTTAAAGCAACACACCACAGGTGAACAAAACAACTAAAGATAGATCACTAATATCACTAATCACATTAAGAATGGTAAGTAAAATAAATAAATACAATTAAAAAATAAATTAATTAATAAATAGGTCTCACTTTATATGTGACCCTGGAGCACAAAACCAGTCGTAAGGGTCACTTTTGTGAAATTGAGATCTGGTCAGCATCTGAAAGCTGAATAAATAAGCTTTCCATTGATGTATGGTTTGTTAGGATAGAACAATATTTGAAAATCTTGAATCTGAGGGTGCAAAAAAATCTAAATATTGAGAAAATCATCTTTAAAGTTGTTCAAATGAAGAAGAAACCAATCCGATGTTTAGTTGACATTTGAGGCTTAATTTCTATAGAAAAGCACTAAAAGTTTTTCAGTTAGAGTGTTTTCAGCTTGTTTATTTTCATATAAAAATACGGCACGCAGTTGCATCAAACAATGGTATAAACATCATTCAGTGTAAATTGTGATAATCGTAATTAATAATCGCAATTACAATTTCAAGGGAATAATCGACAATTATGATTTTTGTCAAAATCGTGCAGCCCTAATATGAATTGTTCAGTAAAATGCAGCTGTTGTGTTGTTGAGTTGAGGTGGGATCTGGGTTAGGTTAGGTTAGGGACTGCTGTGCTGGTTTACAGGATCGAGGTTAGCTCAACAGTGTAAATATAGATGCAAGCCCAGAAATAGGTGTAATTACAGGATGGTGTTTTCAAATAGAAATACAATGTAAAAACATGTAGCCTATGTACACAATAAGTGCATTTCAAATTATTAATTTAAATGTAAGTACATTGTTGTTAAGGACACTTAATATAAAGTGAGTGCAATAAATAACTTGTATTACAGGATTTCTGGAAAGTTCTATTTCAACATGCAAATGAGGTATTTTCTAATTAAACACGCACTCATTTGCATACCTTCCCAGAAAATAAATCTGAACCTGAACTAAAGCCAGGTTTAATATTCTTTGAGTTTGTTGACATATGAGAGTTAAAGGTTTTTCCAGAGGGGCTTTTGGATTTCTCTCTTTATCAATCAGAAAATACTGTCAACAGACAGAAAACAAACACGTTTTCACCCTGTTTTTAGGAGTGAAATGTTGTATCAGTGTGAATGAAATCTGAACAAACCTTCAGAGGAATAAAACTAAAGTTTGCTGAATGTAAAACGCTTTAAAGATATGGCTTGAGATAGAAATCTACAGACGCAAATAGATAAAGTGCAATAAAACAAACACTTCCAGTGTTTTCTGAAAGAAGAGACACAAGATGGAGCACGACAGAGCAGTGCATGTAAAAGCAGTGGTTTTGTCTAGTGTCTGGCTGGTTTTAAAGCCGTCTGTAGTTTTCTGTGTCTCGCTGCATGTCTGTGTGCGGAGCAGCAGGAGCCAGGTTTGTTCTGGCGTATGTGCGCAGGGCTGGAGTGACAGTGAATGTAAGATGAAACCCGTCGGTCACCTGTAGTTAGAGCAAACACAGAAGAGGATCAGTGTGAGCGTGATGATGTTTGGCTGAAGCCAGATCAACACTGAGCTTTACTCCCATCTGCTGGAGCACAAAACACCAGCACTGAGCTTCAGTCTTAACAAGATCCCAGTGCATTCACTAACATTAACAATGAGCGATGCATGTGTTACAGTATTTACACATCTTTATGTTAGTTAATAAAAACACAATTCTTCATTGCTAGCTCATGTCAGCTCAGCTATATTAAATGTGACCCTGGGTCACATATAATAATAATAAATACAGCTTTTGACTTTAATCAGGTATTAGTAAATGCACAGAAATTAACATCAAAATTATTTTTGAAGTGTTTTTCAATGTTAGTTCAACTGTTAACAATGGAATCTTATGGTGAAGTGTTACTGATTTCTTGAAATACTGGGAAGGAAGAGAAATTCCACTTTAGCAAATTATTTATTCAAGTCAGACATCAAATATAACACAATGAACCTCATGCTAAACACACAACTGAGCTTTGGAATACAATACTGAACAGAAGCGGCTTTAATCAAAGGACAGATAGAGAGAAGCAGAAACGCTCTTGCTGGTTCTTCAGAAGCAAACACCGAACAGAAGCATGTGAGGAATTTGCTCAGAGTAACAGTACAATAAAGTTTAAAGCTTAAATTCTGCAGAACTGAGGAGATTTAGAGACCCAACGAATCCACAAAGTCTTGAAGAAATCACAAATGAACACGAGAATCAGAGAATAATAACACACTCCTCTCCAACAGAACCAAGGAAGGTCGTTTCACGGCAGAGTGTTGTGGTTGTGTCTGAAGCGGCTGTGATCTAATACAGGCTGCATGTTTACTCATGCGTTTGACTACGGATCACAGATTGAGTGAATGCAGCTCATCCTAAACTCTGCTCAACCAGAAAGACCTTCAGATCTCTCCAGCCTGAAATCCTGAACCTGTCTGGTCACACGAGTGTAGAGAAACCACAGATGCAGAAACGGATGAGTTATTAAAGGATGATAAAGAGGGCTTTACAATTGTCCTCAACTTTTAAGGAAACAAACAGAGAATTTGTGGAGAACTCTACGTCATTTCATCCGGTGCATTCATTAACCCTTGGTTTCCCGGTGAAGGTGGAGATGTTATTCCAACAACACAAGAGATCTTATGTATGTATGGAGTTAGATTTGTGCCAAAAGTGGATCGTACATGATATTTGTCTGTTTGCTGTTAGTGCTGTTGTTTTATGTCATTTCTTCAGTTCAGTGCTATGCTTTACATTCTGTAATATTTTACAAACATCCAGATAAACAAACAGAATTAGATTTTCCCAATAAGAGTTTTCTCAAACTTCCAGATGCATTTTCTTTTGTTGCATTAATCAATCTATAGCCATCATCTATATTGTCATAATATTCAGAGTTTTAGGAAAATGGTGAGAAACTCATTACTAAGCAAATTCTGTTTGTTTATATGGATATCCGTACAGAACATTCACTGAGAGCACAAACTTCTAAAGCATGAACAAAAAACAACAGCAATAACAGCAGACATAGACAAAGCAGTCTACACTTTTGGCACAAACAGAACTCCATACTTACAGAGGAAAAATGTGTGAAACACGGCAAAAGAAGCCATGAACATTTGCACTTCTGTCAAATAATCTGAACTGCCATCCCTTGGTGAGCAGATGGTCAGGTCATTACGTGCCGCATTTGTTTGTTTGTGCATCTGAAGCTCTCGACCCGCGGTGCATGTTTATTGGTGAATCTACAGAGCTGAAATCAGGGTTTGGCCTAACAAACACCTGAGAGTCACGGCGAGCGCTGGTTCTCAGGACGCGTCTGACGGGACGTGCTCCTCGAAGCCCTCGCTCTCGCGCACCAGCGCTCTCTCCAGGATCACGCGGCCCTCCTTGTAGCGCTGGCTGTCCTCGGTGGCGAACTCGTAGATCCAGCCCAGCTTGCTGTTGCAGTTCTTGCAGCTGACGTCTCGCACCATGTGTCTGCCGGTCAGCATCACGCGGTCCTGCACCTCGCTGTACTGCAGGTTCACCACCTGAAACACATCACAGGACGTTAGCGTTAGCATCAGCGCCGCGCACTAGCCACGGCCAGTCGCTCAAGGGGTGTGCGATACTGACAAAAAATCATATCTCTATATTTTCTGGGATTTTTTCTGAGAGTGTGTTATTGTGCTGATATCTTACAGACTGCAGTGGACAGCTGACTCCTAAAGTGTTTGATATTCTTCATATTCTGTGTAGAAATTTATATTTTCCAATAAGTTTAAACTGTTTTTTACATTTTATGGGCATTTTTATCTTTGTAAAGCCATTTTTTCTAAAAGTGTCTATTATATTTTCAGTCAAATTCTCACATTTGTGTTTACACACTGTTTAATGCAGGACATGAATGCATTTAACCTGCAGTTACACATGCATAAATACTGTTTTGATATATTAAACATAAAATGTGAATACTGATATTTTTTATTATTTAAATTAATATGAAAGGATACAACGAGCAATCTACCTTAAGCCGGGCATAACCTGTGCGATTTCCGTCCGATTCTGAGCCGAATTCTGACTCTTTTTTTGAGTCGGGCTGAATTTCAGCTTTGTCGTGCAGTGTTTGTGCCGTGTTCGTGCCGTGTTCGTGCCGTGTTCGTGCCGTGTACTGGAGGAAACGAGAAGCAATATTTCTGACATGTCACCCTCGTGAGAGTATTGCTCAGCTGAAGCAGAGCTACGAACCGACTGCCCTGAACTCAGTGCTTTGTCCCTCACTGCGCGAAAATATAACTTTAACTATTTAATCTTTAATACAGCAAGAAAGAAATCGAAGAGAGGGAGAACTTTTGATAAAATAATGTTATTATCATGGGAAATGTGAACCATTGTCCATCATTTTGCAATTAGTGATAAAGACAAACACGTCGCAAAATTATAAATATTTTAGTTTTAAACCATCTCTTATGGCTGATATACGTAGTGAAAAAACAACAACAGAATTGAAGTATTTCGTGTTAAACAAGTTGTTTTTGAAATGTATTTGTCTGTAGGCTAATAAAGGTCTTATTTTCATTGATGACTGATTATTACAGTGTTCGGACACATAGGCTACTTTAGACGGAATTTTAATTATAGGCCTATTCATTGTGTAATATATCTAAATGTTTTACATCATTTTCAATGAGGAGTAAGCTAATTTAATCATTTATTATCCGCGAACTTTTGATAAAATAATGTTATTATCACGGGAAATGTGAACCATTGTCCATCATTTTGCAATTAGTGATAAAGACAAACACGTCGCAAAATTATAAATATTTTAGTTTTAAACCATCTCTTATGGCTGATATACGTAGTGAAAAAACAACAACAGAATTGAAGTATTTCGTGTTAAACAAGTTGTTTTTGAAATGTATTTGTCTGTAGGCTAATAAAGGTCTTATTTTCATTGATGACTGATTATTACAGTGTTCGGACACATAGGCTACTTTAGACGGAATTTTAATTATAGGCCTATTCATTGTGTAATATATCTAAATGTTTTACATCATTTTCAATGAGGAGTAAGCTAATTTAATCATTTATTATCCGCGCGTCAGTTGTGCGGTAATGAGATATGAAATTATTGCGGGGCAAATTAATTGTTGTAGACCTATAAATTTTATTATAAAAGTACCATAATAATAACAATAGCAATGGTAATAATTTAATACATTAATTGAAAATGACAAATCACCTTATTTTTTTTTAGATATCTCTGGCTATGGTCCATATACACGTGTCATCGTCTGCGCAACTGTATTTCACACGCACAGTGTGAGCACATAAACTGTGAGCTTTGACTTTACATCGCATGCGATCTGCTCGTACAGTGTGAGTTGGCACCTTGATGAAAACATGGGTGTATGCCTGGCCTTAAATGAACCACTTTAAATTTGAAATTAAATCCGCCAGCAGGTGGCAGCAAGTCACTGTTAATAAGTGATTCATTGTGACTGAACCGAATCATTTAAACGATTGATTCATTCAGGAACGAATCACTGTCATGTTGCTCAGAGACACAGAACAGTGCTGTGACTGTGTTTGGGATTATTTTTGTTGTAGAAATAGCACAAAAACAGGAAATTTTGCGTCTAAAACTTAAGCCTCTTAATATGAATTCTTGTTTATTGAACTATTGTATAAAATCAATATCACATTTGTAATCATGCTGGGTTAGGGTTAGTATATATAAAATATATAAACAATATAAATTTTCTGCCCCCTTATCTTGAATTTTGTGATCATTCTAAATGTGTTGTAATAAACTGAACCGTGCAGTGAAAGAACACATTATAAATGCGCACGCGCGCTAGTCTAGACTGGTATGCGTGTGCTCTGTAGGTGTTTTGTTTGGTTTTTGCTAAATACTGGATAATGTCAAATCGCACATCGTTAAAACAACAATTACGATATTAGCGCAGACGATATATACCTTGTTGAAGAGGAAGGCTCGTCCGGTGGCGCCGGTGAAGCGCGTGGAGATCAGCTCGGAGCGGTTGGTCAGGATGGTGTCGCAGTTAGCGCAGGAGAACAAGCGAGTGCCGCCGATGTGATCCAAGAAGATGCGGCCCATGATCCACACAAACACACCTGTGAGAGCCAGAGACGCAGAGCTATGTTCCCATCATCCTGCTTTTATGCACTTTTTGGGATATTGCATAAAAAAAGGCTGGATGGAAACGCCAAGATGCACATAAATTCTAAAAATGTGCATAAAAAAACTTATGCGCTTAACTAAGTAGGATACATTTCTCATCCGTTAAAAAAACATGCGCATAAACTACGATGGAAACACTTTTACAGAATAAATTCCTTAATGCGCATCAAAAAAGACACGTGACTTTGCGATGGGACAGAATAAAACTGGACCGATCAAATGCTAGTTACGTCATTCTAAAATGCTTGAGCAAAGTCTCGTCAAAGTGCTTCGTTATAATTAACTCCGAAAATAAGATAACATGACCGCGTTTCGTCTGCGCGCTCTGAAGCTCGTAATTTATACAAACATTATTACATACAGTGCCTTCTCCTGCTGCAGCAAATTAATTAGTGCCAGTTAATCAGGAAGTGAACTCACTGGATGGAAACGGTGCTTTATTCGCAAATGTTTTATGCGATATTCCAATTTTGCGCATACGTTTAATTTGTAACTTTGGATGGAAACATAGCTAGTGACAGCACATTCTTCTGCAGGACAATCTAAAACACTTTAAGAGCAAGTAAACAAAATTGCACACTCACACACACACACACACACACTCTCACACACACTCACACACACACACACACACACTCTCACACACACTCACACACACACACACACACACTCTCACACACACTCACACACACACACACACACACTCTCACACACACTCACACACACACACACACACACTCTCACACACACTCACACACACACACACACACACTCTCACACACACTCACACACACACACACACACACACACACACACTCACACAC